CTGCCACCATTGAACATTTTGTACATGGAGATCATATCCCCCCTTAATCTCCTCACCTCCAATGTGAACATGTTTAAATTTAGTAGCCTTGTCTCGTAGCTCTGGTCCTCCATACCCCTAATTAGTTTGGTTGCCCTCCGCTGGACTTTTTCCAACTCAAGGACATCTTTTCTTAGTACTGGTGACCAGAACTGGACCGCGTAGTCCAGATGAGGTCGAACCAATGATCTATAAAGTGGCATAGATCATATATTTTTATGATAAATTGGCTACACAAAAATTTTTTTCATAGTGTATGTAGTAAGCACTTTCTTTCTGTTTATTTTTAAAGGGTATTTTTGGTAAAAAAAACAAAAATTAATGTGTATCTATATTGATATTCCATAAATCCTTTCCCACTCCTAATGACTATATCAGTGTAGACGTTTTTAAACTTACCTTGAAGCTACCCATAGGATGTACTTCCTTAATGCACTGACACAATTTCACTCAGAGTGAATATGCACTTCCTCGTGTCACTATTCTAAGCCTGCCATCTGAACTTGTGTAACAGCATAATTGCTTGCTGGAATCAATGCATTATGGGCTATGTAGTCTTGAGAAATCGAGATTGCATCACATCAAGCAGCAGGGAAAGCAATGCAAAGCACATTGGGAATCCAGGTAGGTGTTATAAGTGATGTGCGGAAAGAAGGTAGCACTCATTACATAAAAGGTATTTTTCAAGTAAGCTTTGACTACATTGTCAAAAACAACTATAGTATGTATTCCTATTACAATGAGGATGGTATAGTATATGCTGTGATTTTAGAACGTTATTTTTAACTACTAGGGGAAAGCCTCTGGTTTAAGCAGTTGCTATTAACACTATCTACATTTTGCTCTTCCAATACCAGACAGCTGGCATTGGAATTAACTAGCACTCTAGTTAACTTCAGCTATAAACCACAGTGTCATGTGCATTTGAATTGAAATTTGTGGCTTCGCTGTGGTAATTTTTTATGTCATTTACTATATTAGAAGCCTAGAATACTCTTCAAATCTGTTGCTTGGCAGGGTCCCTTCTTATTCCCTAGTTTGTGACATTGCTCTGAGCAAGCAAAGATTGCAGATCAGGATGTTGGCCATAAACTATGAATTTAACAAGGGTTCATTTTTAAAATTAAACCTTTTAAAACAATCCTTGGTCATGTTTTCTTGGGATCAAGGCCTTTCAGGGACAAAAATGTATCAATTTATAGTATAGTACCTTCAGTAGTATGGAAACATTAAAAAAAACGCATAAAAGGAAAAGGAAATTACTACATGGTACTGCTAGCTTTCACATACTGTATATTTGCATGTGAGAAACGAAATCCATATGAATGATGAATTGGGTATATATTAGAAATAGTTTCTTGCGATAAAGGAAGCACATGGAACTGCTTTCTTTTCTGAGATTTAAAATTAACCTGTTGATCTCCCATATTAGGAAAATACCAGGGTGGCTTGATATACGCTACCGTAGGAAGCATGTATTCTGCCTTTCCACTCTTCCTCACCACCCTTATACCTGCACAGGACTCAGAAAGCTAATCCCCGCTGCACATGAATTTCAACAACAGATTGTTGTGATAGAGGGGTGAAAATAAGGTCAATATAACCTGCCAACAGTGCCTCCTATAAACCTAACATGTTACTGTGCATAGGAAGCGCAACATAAAGGCTAGGTTTAATACATCTAGCCCAGTGATCTGATGGAAAATTTAATAAGGCAGTTCAAATAACAATGATGTTTAATATTGTAATAACATTGTAGACCGCATCCTTTGTTCAGTTCATACATTGTATTGCTATATAAGCCTTAATGAGTTTATTATTTCAGACAGATTAAACTGTGAAACATAAAAACTGTGAAATAATCTCCAGTTGCTCCAAATAGGACAATAAGAAGACATTTTTCTGAAAAATCTCTTTAATAGACACAACTGAAGCAACCTTGAAGGAACCAAACAATTTCTCACACCCACCAATTACATTCAAACCTGCCGTAGAAGTCCGAATGTGATTGGTGATACAGAAAGCGGAGAGAGTATTAGGAATCTACAAGGCCAAGCTTTAAGAAGTACACACTCAGCCACCAACCCTCTAGCTGCTTTCTGGATTCTGTTTTGCTGGGGATTCCAGAGAACTAAAAGATAAAAGTGACACTAAACTCAGGAGTTAAACCATCAGGCTCCATTCACATGTAGCGTTTGCATTTCCCGCACTGTTTTCCGTGCAAAGGACCGTGCAGCACACAAACGCTAAAATCTTTCATCTGTACAGATTCCGCTGGTTTGTGGCCATTGGTATAGCTGCGAATGTGCGTAATCCATCACAAAATCATGCTTGGACTATTTTGCAGGCTGTGCGGTTTCGTACCACAAAAGTCTGAACAATGCACATGAAAGTGCATTGTTTTTATGTTAAGAGCGGCTCCTATTTGTGCGGCCGAAAACTCGCGGACAACCTCTGCTGTGTGAATGGAGCCTCAAAATGCATTCAAGTACCTTAACTATTAACAGAAATGTAGCTTATTTGTGTATCACTCGGCTGTAGATCCTCAAATCATCTCTGAATTCATGCTGACACTGTCCTTCCTTCTGGGGGGTGGCTACTTTTGTCCCCTATGGTCCCCTATGTGTGGTATAAAGTAGCCACAACTCCAAGCTCGCTCCTGTGATGGAGTACAATCTCATGTCTAGTTTACTAATTTGTATTGAGATTGTAGTCCATCATGGGAGTCTGCTTGGTGCGGTGGCTACTTTACAACACACACATGGACCATGAAGAATCAGAGATGATTTGAGGCTCTACAGCTGAGTGATACGCAAATAAGATACATTTTTGTTAATATTTAGGGTATTTAAATGCATTCTTAAGGTTTACCTCCTGTGTTTAGTGTCACTTCACGGTAGTGAAATTCCTGATTTTAGCACAGCTGCAGTGTTTGTTCAATAGCATTAGTAGCTCACAGACAGGTTAAGTTGTTGCCTGTAATTGTTCTGTAACTGCGATTTCCATGTAGCAACACTCATATCAGTAACTTTGCTATACAGACTATACAGTTCACAATAAACACACAAATGCTTTGGTAAGATTGTCTTTAAATAGAGTAAATGAAAGGAAAAAGATTCCATTGGAACACTTCTTTGGCTTATACAAACCAAACTAATGACTGTTTATTATTAATATTATTCATTTAGTCACAATGTATAATTCCTGTCAGTAGAAAAAATATGTACACCTTTATATCAATATAAACACTTCTAATGTATAAACATCTAAAAGACATTTCAAAAGATAGCTACATTGACAGTAGCACCTATAGAAAATAGATTTGGGTAATACTCAAACATATAGCATTTATGTATATCCTTATATTTACATAAAGTTAAAGTGAATCTGTAATTTGCCCACAGCAAGCAAAGTATGTTTCACCTTATAGTAGAAAGAGTAAACATGTTCTATTTACCCTCAACCTAGGGGGTAGCCACCACCACCATCAACCTAATCTGCCGCTAGAGCCCAGTACTTCCGGGTATGGGGGAACATGTGACACCCTCTCCTGCCTGGCCCCTCAGAGAACTATACAGTAACTATGCCAAAAAAAAAAAAATCAACACTTATTCAAGACTTCCGGGGGCTCTGGCAGTGGATTAGGAATACTGGTCAGCATAGTTAAGGAACGTACAGGATACTTACAGGTAGTAAAGAAAAGTTTTACATTTTAATATTTTAATGTAACCTTGGCAAGCTGAATTCAAGCACTGCCTGTAGTAATAAAATCATATTTGAACAGTGTAATACTAAAAATTTAAAGATGCAAAAAATAGGAATACATAAAGGCAACTGTTAATATAACTACAACAACTACAGTGCAGTACAAACAGTAGTAAGAGCATCAAGAACATTTTTGGTAAACCTTTCTCTTTGTGTCCAATCACATGAGTGCATCTCTAGCCCAAACCTTTGTTTTTAGTTTTGCACAGAGTAGGGAAGGTTTGGACCCTGTATCAAATTTTTATTGCAGTCTGCAATAAACCACAAAGCTGAACGGTTTATTGCACGGGCAGGAGCGTGTCTGGAAGGCTGGCACAGAGGACGGGGACGTGCAGGTAAGGAGAGAGCTGCCTGCAGAGAGCTGCTGCGCGTCCACGAATATATGGAGCTCTCAAGAATCACTGTCAGTCACAGTGACGAAGATCAGTGAGGAGGATCCCGGCTGCATTGTCGGGATCTCTACTCATTGCGGTGCTTAGCCCCGCCCACCATCTTAAAGAAGGTTTACAGGCTTAGGGTGCATTTTGGATAATAGGAGTAAATTACACAATTTACTTATTTAGCCTAAGGAATGCAATAATAAAGAAAAGATAGAACCCCATAGTTCTCCTTTAACGCTGACTATGATGGCAAATAAATGTCCTCCCATGTTTTCTTACAGCTGTTCTGTTCCCAGCATCATCAGTAGCATTTCATAAAAAGTGACTGCTCCTCCAAATGCTAGGTGATTAAGCTATCCATATACATGAGATGACTGCTGCACAATAACAGATAAATTAATTTATGTCTGTGGGAACATTGTGACCTCAGCCCCTGGCCAACCAGCTCCTGGGGTAAGATCAATTATTCTAAATGGATTTCTTAAACAATCACTATTGTTTCCCCAGGATGAGGCTGGATCCAAGGAGGTATGCTTGCTTCCATGCTTGTCCAAAATGATCAGGCTAAAAATAGTGATCCACTAACTTGGTAATCTAACAGTCACTGAGCTGTGAACAAAACATAGGAATCATCATAGGAAAAAAAAAAAAATCACAAAAGCATATGTCATTGAGAATTTCCTGCTACAGGACAGAGAACAAAAACAAATACATAAATGGGTGTGTATATATATATATATATATATACATACACACACACACACGCACACATCCAAAATATATTTTATACAGGAGTAGTAAGTGTTTAGCTGAGATTTAAAATCTTGTTTCTGATGTACCTCTCTTAAGATTATTACTTAAAAATTCATCATGTTCAAAACTTAAGTTATTATGTGATCTTGAGATCATGAGCAGTTTTTCCTTGTTTGTGTAGTCTTTTTTTGCTGGAGGAGCCTGGGGCACAATCAACCTGTCCATTGGATCTTCTTTGTTCTCAAGTTTCATGTACCCCTTGCTGTTACTGCGGTCAAGCCTAGGCCAGCTTGGATGCTTTCTTTGTTCAGCTTGAACTGCAAGCGTAGAAGGAGCTCTGTCTAAGTCTAAAGATTTAGAATGTGAAGATAAAATATGCAAAGAAGTGTTGGATCCAAATTGTTTTGGAGCGGCACCTGGGGATAAAAGCTTTCCATTATTTGGTGCAGGAGCTAAAGAAGAGTCACATCTGAGTGGTTCCATTATAGAGCAGCTACGTGATAAAGGTATATTGGCAGGTTTATATTGTTTGTTTCCATCATCTGGTAAAGGTAATAGTGAATCCATTGATACTTTTCTTGGCCTGCTACTGCTGATTTCAGAGTCTTCTGTAATGTTATCTATATCAGGCTCGTCAATAACACAATTATTCAGTTTTATTACAGGCAATGTGAAAGCATTGATTGAAGATGACACTATAGATTTAGTTTCACATTTCTTGGAGCTGCTATTTTTATCATCTCCACTTCTGTTAGAATGGCTATGAAGTCCAAACACTGAGCCTGACCGTTCCATTAGAAGTGGAGGCAGAATATTTGTAAAATGTTTACTCTCCCGGGGAAAGCTCTCTTCATCATCAATAGAACTGCAACTCCTGTAGCTTCCAGGAAAAGATGCAATAGTATTGGCGGCCAATTTGGATGCACAAGGGTTATCAGAATGACGAAACTCGGCTTCCCCATAAAAGCCTGAGAAAGCTCCATTGAGATGCTTCTGTTCTTTGATTCTCGTGCTATGAACGTCAATAACAGTTGAATATATATCTCTCATATGAATAACTTTTGTTTCCTTATCACGATTTTCATGAAGTATAGCATTTGCACAAATAAAGATAAAAATTCCAATACCCATTGTGAAAGGACCCAACATTCTCATTTTCTCAGAATGCAAATGTTGCTCAAAAAATCTTACCATCATCCCAGTTTCTCTAAGTATTTCTGTTTTATTAACTTCTAAAGCAAGCTCCGTTGTTAAAAATGTGTCCTTTTGAGGCCAGTAACCAAGTACTGCCATGGCTATTCCTGCTACAGAAATCAAGACACCCAAAATCAGAAAGAATCCAGATGGAGAGTAAAGTCGAATCTTTCCTCTAACAATCACAACATCTGCTCTTGGTCGACGTCTTACAGGCTTCTTCTCAGGAGGTGGAGATGTAGGGCGGGAGAGAAGGTGCTGGGATCTGGCTGAATCTTGCCTCTTTAAGGCTGCCAGTCCTGTTATAACACCTCCAGTTGCTATCATAGTTCCGCAAGTCTGAAAAAGGAGAAAAATAAAAAGATTAAAGTTTTTCTAACCCAAAATTGCAGAAAATCAGATAATATGTATTTTTACTCATTCCTTTTAGAAAATGATCTAACATTTGTACTATTATGTATTTTATAATAATAAACAATCTACATAAACATTTGAATACATACATTAATATATAGTATGAGTATGAGTATGTCATCTGCAGCGGGTACAGGAGAGGGTGTGGTTAGATAGTTCACCTTTTCTGTTTTTTTGAAAAGGTGAACTAACCCTTTAAACCTAGCAAAGTGGTTATTCATTCTTCAGTATACAGTTAAAGTGGAACTATGAGCAAAATAGAAATGACACATGATGCAGTATATCACTAGCATTAACACAGATGTTTTTGTTAGTCTGAGCCTCCCTTGTAACATATTTGTATTACCAGTAGAAAATCAGTTATTTTTCAACTTCTTTTAGCTAGGCAACAACACTATTTGTTTTGCAGTGAAATCACACAGCAGCACAACGTTGACAGGGTAAATGGACATGTAGTTTTATGTGGACTATAAGCAAAAGACATAATTATTAAAGCACAATACATTTTAAGCAGTTAAATCGAGTTTAGACCATACTAAAGAAACATTATGGGGAGAGTGAAACACAGTCATCCCCATAATTAGAGCTGAAGTGTGACACTGCAGCTGTCACATGTCAGTTCATGAACTGAGCGATCACATACCGCTGATACCTCAGTTCCCAACCTTCTCCCTGCAGGGAGCGGTGACTGTCCGTCACTCCTCCCCACAGGGATTCCTCCTCTCTGTTCCTCCAATGCTGACTGCTTGGGTGGCAGATGGAAAAGGGGACGGGCACAGCTGGCTCTGTCTCTAGAGAGGAAGGGCCAGCTGTGGATAAGGTGGTGGGGTGGGTCCCGACAGTATTGTTAGTATTTTTCCCAGCCGTAGCACGGCTCTGCGCTGTGAGCATATAGTGGGCAATAGAGTTTGTTTGGGTAAACGCAGGACATAGTAAATGTCCTCCTGTGACCCTAAAGGAAACTATAGCTGAAAAAAGGTTTGGCCATAGTTCTCTTTTAATAAAAACTGACCATTGTAAGCACCCCACCAGTATAATATGTACTGTCAAAACCACTCCAACTCAGTGTTAATTTCATCAACTAATAATTTTCGTCATAGTTTCATCAACAACACTATTTCAGTGACTAAAACTAGACTAAAACTAAAGGAAACTTAAGTTATGATGACTAAAACTATAATGAAAATATATTGACATTTTAGTCGACTAACTAAAACTAGACTAAAATGTTAGGGAGAGACGATCTGGGAAGAGATCCAATCAAAACTAATCTCTTTGGACTTCCAGTTCCATCCTGAATGGATGGCTAATAGGTAATATGTGCTACGGCATTACAGCCAATATAGTTTTTTATTTTAATATTTTAGAGTTGTACTTCTGCTTGAAATAATAAAGAATGTAATATGCAAGTTGTTATAATCAATTCATATCTAATTACTGGTTCTTTGTTGAAAATACTCAATATTATGGTTTATTTATAAGACTTGCTTTAATCTAATTTTAAGATAAATAAAGACATGTTATATATCACAACAGTTAAATCGGTGTCTGTATTGCATGTTTAAACCTTAATACCATTAGCAATAACAGCTTAACAGATGTTTACTCCAGGAGTATATAATGAGATAGGAAATTCTAGAGAAATGTTTTAATTACTTGAACTAAACCCACTAGATTTTAGTAGATTAATCTACTGTAGATTTAGTTGACTAAAATCTTATGATATTTAGTTGACTAAAACTAGACTAAAACTAAACAATTCAGATGACTAAAATATATTAAAACGAAATGGCATTTTAGTCAAAAGACTATAGGGTCTATTCACTAAGCTGCCGTAGGCAGCCGAGTGAAAGACCGACCTGAAGTGAAGTGAGCCGAATGCTGTTCGGCTATTCAACTCAGGCTGGTACGACTGATTTCAGCCGCATCGGCTGAAATCAGCCATATATCGGGTGGCTTCACGTGGCTTCGGGACGGTCGAACCTGCTCAGCATGTTCGGCCGACCCAAAGTGCAGGAGGAGTTCAACTGAGCCGATCCAACATCTGGATCGACTAAGCCGAACCTCCAGCAGGCTACTCGCTGCTGTTTGGTCTATTCTTATAGATGCCGAACAGCAGTGAGTTAATAGTTAAGTGAGTTAAATACTTCTATTGTCCGGCCATCAAAAAAAAATAAAAAAACTCTCCCGGGCGCTCCGGGAGTCTCCCGCTCCCGACCGCCCAGGAGAGAAACACTGCTTTTTCTTTTTTTCTTTATTCTGACACGGAGCCGTGTCAGAATGGAAAAAAAAACAAAAAACATTTTTGCCCATAGGAATGCATTGCTAGATTCCTATTGGCTTTCCTATTGGCTATTTCAATTTGCAATAGCCAATAGTAAACTAGCATTGTACCCGCCCTCTGCTGATGGACCTGATGGAGAACTGCAGCAGAGGGCGGGTGCAATGCTAGTTTACTATTGCAAATTGAAATAGCCAATAGGAATCTAGCAATGCATTCCTATGGGCACATTTAAAAAAAAAAAATTCTATTCTGACACGGCTCCGTGACTCGGCTCAGCCGAGCCGAGGCATATGCCTTCGGCTTGACTGAGGTGCTCGGCTAAGTTCGGGAGCTGCACGGGCTATTGTGAATAGCCCGTACAGCAGCCCTTCGATTCTACTGAACCGAAGGGGTCCTGGGGCCGAAGCTAGCCGAAGGATCGGCCGAAGCTACGACTAGAACCTTCAGCTGCTTCATGAATAGACCCCTATGACTAAAACTAAATCAAAATTTGCTGTCAAAATTAACACTGCTCCAACTGCCAGTATTTTTTTGGACAGTTTGGCCTGTTACAGAAAGTGAAAAAAATAACATGTATTTGATAGATCAACAGTTAGGGGGAACAAAAAACTCATGTGTTACTATTGGCAAACTGCATCAAATACATAACTTTTTAATTTTTCCATAGTTTACTTACTCATACTATAACTTTCACTCATATGTAGATAATAACTTGTAGTTTTATCCTGTTGCTATTAATGTGCAATGTATTCTGTTGAAAATTGAACATGTATGTTACCTGTTGATATTAATCAAAAAACACACACAGAAAAACAATTTATTGTAACATTTAACAATACTTTTATTTCCAAGATAACATTTGCAAGAGGTGAGGATAGCATGTAATCCTGACTTAGCATGTAAAACCCGAACCAAAAAATATCTGAGAAGCACTGACATAAACCTAAATTATCCCCACTTTACTGATGGATGAATTTCAATCTGTTCAATTTACAATAAATTTACTTCCTAAACTACAAGCTAAATACATCACTCCAGAGTTCCTCTTTATATCCTTCTTTTATATTACTCTTTACTATCTACAGAACCTTACAAACAGAACAGCCATGGGAACTGTAAAGAACAAAAAAAAGGATCTGCACCCTTTCCCGTGGAAGAGGCAAACATAGGGGTCTATTCACCAAGTTGCCGAAGGATCTAGCCGTAGCTTCGGCTGATCCTTCGGCTAGCTTTGGCCCCAGGACCCCTTCGGTTCAGTAGAACCAAAGGGGTGCTGTACGGGCTATTCAGTATAGCCCGTACAGCTCCCGATCACGGCCGAGCGGCTCAGTCGAGCCGAAGGCATATGCCTCGGCCGCGCCGCACAGAAAGACGAAGCTGGCCGACAGCCTGCTTCTGACAGCTGGGAGGAGCCAGCCGTGATCTTACGGCTGGCTGCGGCCACTTGCAGAGAGATCAGCGTCCCTGGTTACCTGCAAACCAGGGACACTGATCTCCAAACAGCAAACTCTCCCTGGCGCTCCGGGAGCCTCCCGGCCGCCAAGGAGAGAAACACTGCTGTTTCTTTTTTTTTTATTCTGACACCCTCTGCTGCAGTTCTCCATCAGGTCCATCAGCAAAGGGCGGGTACAATGCTAGTTTACTATTGGCTATTGCAAATTGAAATAGACAATAGGAATCTAGCAATGCATTCCATTGGGCAAAACATTTTGCCCAATGAGTAGCCTGCCGGAGGTTCGGCTCAGCCGATCCAGATGTCGAACTCCTTCTGCACTTCGGGTCGGCAGAACATGCTGAGCATGTTCGGCCGACCCAAAGCCAATGCAAAGCAAGTCGATGTACGGCTGATTTCAGCCGATGTACGGCTGATTTCAGCCGATGTACGGCTGAAATCAGCCGTATCAGCCTGAAGTGAATAGCCGAACAGTGTTCGGCTCACTTCACTTCAGGTCGGTCATTCACTGTATTGTATTTAGTGGCAAATCCTAGACCCAAATACATTGAGGAATACTGAATTGCAGCAGTAGTTTGTACCAGTGATAGGACAGTGTCACAAACAGACTGCTGTCCCAAAATGGCTAGCTGGTGAAAAAAAAAATGGTCTAGGTAATTCAAAATATGATTAACAATATTTTTTATTTACTGTCACAAACTATGTGGTTTTTAACTAAAGAACTTAGCTAAGCAGGTCTCCAATTGTATAAGTGACTCCTCAATGGTCAAAGTCTCTAGTTGTTTAATTTAGGTGTACCATTTATCATTTTAATTGTTTGCATGCCTAAAGGTATTGGTGCGTTTAGACATTATATAATGCCTTCTGTGCGTTTAGGCATTATCCAGGGTCACCATCTGCTTTCTGGACTGGGATACTGGCTCATAGATTGAATAGTCATGTATTTGCTAGTAGGGATGGGCTTCGCGTTCGAGTCGAACCTATGTTCGACTCGAACATAGCATGTTCTAAATGGCTCATCCCTATTTGCTAGTGCCTGTGCAGTTCGTGGTTGTATTAACAAATGTCTGACAGAGATTAGATCCTGCTGCAACCTTTGCCCAACAAAGTTGCCCTTACAAAGTTAAAATATTGCAGTCTAATCATTGGGTGAGAGGAGACTGAGGAACTGCTGCCTCCTGCTT